CACACACACACACACACACACACACACACACACACACACACACACACACAAATAATAAATAAATTGTTGGCCTCCCTTGACAAGACAGTTTCAGAGTCAGACCAGAGTCCCGAGATTTTGCTTGGTGTGCATTTTGTAATTTCCTCTAAACATTTAGGATTCATAAAGCTTCATGAATATAAAATTAAATAATGTTTTTTGAGCATTTATATGTTAAATAATATAATGTTTTATTGTATTTAAAATGTAAAACAAAAATTATTATCTAGGCCAGCGGTTCCCAAAGTTGGAGTCAGGACCTCTGTTTTGGTCATAAAACATCAAATGAGGGTCCCCAGATGATTTCAAGACATCAGTTTGAATGCAAATAAATTGTTAATGAAACATATTATTGCAAAAATTATTTGCCTGGACGCCTCCCTTTAGAGGTGTTCCAGGCACGTCCCACTGGGAGGGGGCCCCGGGGAAGACTCGCTGGAGGGATTATGTATCCTCTCTGGCCTGGGAACACCTCGGGGTCCCCCAGGATGAGCTGGAAAGTTTCGCTGGGGAGAGGGATGTCTGGGTTTCTCTCCTGGACCTGTTGCCTCCGTGACCTGACTAAGGATAGAACAGAAGTGTACAGAACAGAGTTATTAGTGTAAACCAGTAATATCTCGGGTAACACGTTTATGTTTATATTATGTTTAATTGTTATTTTGTGGGCCACTAAAAACTTTGAAACCCACTGATCCAGATCCTCTGTACGGAGCCCATCTGGTGACATTAGAGAAACACGTGGCCATGAGATAATTGTTGCACTCATTTCCATGCAGAGATTCTTGATTGTTAACACGTTTGAACTATTTTCATTTGATTTTAAAATAGGAATGACTGACAAACACCAGTCACTTGCTGAAATACTTCTTAGAATAAAACGTTGCATCTAGCAGAGTTTTATTTCTCCAAAAAGCTTTGTTCTTTTTTTTTTTTTTTGGAACTCAACACTAAAAATGTGCCATTTTTAAATGGTTTCATTCATTCATTCATTCATTCATTCATTCATTCATTCATTCATTCGTTCATTCATTCATTCATTCATTCATTCATTCATTCATTCATTCAGTTATAAAAATAAAGTAAACTCTATTTACAATTAAAA